AAATCCCCGACGAATTTACTGTAGTATCCGGCGTGGCCCAAAATTGTCCTAAGACTGCGCTTCGAGATCGGAACTGGGGTGCCTCGAATTGTCAATATTTTCTCCGGCAGCGGCTTCAGCTCACCCTGACCCACCTTGTGACCAAGCAGTGTCACGGACGTTTTCCCGGTATGAGATTTAGGACCATTTATCCGTAATCTCGACTGTTGGATCCTTTGCAACATTGCTTCCAAAGGACGCCAGTGTTCTGCTTCCGATTCATTGTATATCCCGATGTCGTCTCCATACATAGATACAGTCTCTAATCCATCCGGCAGGCGGAGCATTAAACGCCGGAAAGTGAACCGGGCAACAGATAATACAAACGATATCCTTATAAATTGGTACTGCTTCTCGCCAACTGTAAATGCGGTCTTCTTCCGGTCCTCCTGTTTGATCATCAGCTGCTAGTCACTAGATCTCAAGTCTAGTACCGTGAATATCTTTGAATTCTGTAGTTTGTCGAAACGACAGCACGATTTCGTTTATCATCCTGAAGTCCACGCAAAAGCGGTATTTTCCGTTGGCCTTCTTCACCAAAACGACTGGGCTGTGAAGCTCCTCGATTACACCCGCATTCAACATCTCTCGAACCTTCCATTTCACCTCGGCCTCCAGATGAATTGGTATTCCTCTGGGTCCTTGTGGCCGATACGACTGCCGCGAAATCAAAATTGTGTGTTCGAGTAAATCACAAAACTCGTAGGGGCTGTTATCGTCTGTAGTTGCCTACAAGCGAGTGCAGGACCATACTAGTAAGTAAAACGGCAATGACTGAACACGCCCATGTGGATCCTTCTCTACCAGCGAGGGGTATAGACCCGTATTTTGTCATCAGCTTTCCCCGTATCAGCTCGACGATGGCATCGTTGGCTTGGAGTCTGCCCTCAAAATGGCCTATTTCGCGTCCGGCGACGCAACGAAGAGATGGTTGAATTAATAACTCCCGATACCAACCACGTGTTCCGCCATACCATTTATGCGTATATCGTAACCATCGACCGCCTTCACTACCATGGAACACGATTGGGTTTTCACTCCATCACGATGGTTAATAAGGGAAACTACGGATCCTGTATCGAGTAAACACCTCTATGTGTTTCCATTCACCTCTATCATCGCTTCAATCACACCTTGTTCAGGGCCCCAAGTGTGTACTTTCCAACACGAGAACAATACTGTTTGTAACTTTTATCTGGTACCTAGAGTGCAGTGCGCCTTGATGGACATCGTCGCTTCCAGTGTCCCAGTTTCCCACAAAAGAAGCATCGCCCACTTTGCCGCTTCCTCTGACAGGTAATTCGAAGTGCTCCGATGTCTTGTGTAATCTGCTCCAACCTCTCTTCTAATCTGTCCAATCGCTCGTTGTCTTTATGGTCTTGGATTCTCAATGATGCCGCTGGTTCTTGGACCAACTCACTTGCCACTCGAGCAACTTCCACCACGCCCGTTCTCTGGGTAGCGTTCACAATCCGCAATAGTTGGAGGTAGACTGTGGTCTGCTCTACTAATAGTTGCTGTCTTGACGCGTCGTCCAAATCTAGCAGCGCCCGATAGAACGACCTGCCGAGATGGACCGCAAACATGACCGGATCCACTCTAGCCCAAACCGGGCCGCCTTGAATCGTCGCTTCGCTTCCTGGCGGACGGTCAAACATCGCGAGCAGCGCCTCTTTTGCGGCGACCAGTCCCAACTTGACTGGGCCTCTTTTTGCCGCCTCCAGAATCGCATTCGCCCGTCGTTTGAGTAGACTCCGAAGCCGTAAAAGCTTCGCCCACTCCTGCTTCCACGACATATTCGAAGTCCTCCAAGAATCCCCGTACATCCTCAAATGGCTCCGCCCACGGGATCTTCATCTTCCAACACCAGCTGGTCACGGCAGTAAATGTGGAAAAGGTGGTGCGGTGCGAAAGAGTTGTGTCAAAACACACGTATACATGGTAGAACTTTTGCACACTGCATTCGTGGTGCCATTTGATTCCACATGCGCTATGTGTTATCGACTCAGTTTGCCGTGACGGTACAGTATAGATTAAACGCTCCAGCATCATCCATTTTCGAGACTGGTTGAATCGTGCACTACGCGCCGGTCGTCCGCGGTGATCCATTATTCGCTGAGTTCATCGCGCCTGCTCGTTTCAACATACCACTCATTAGTGGTGCACCACAACCGTACACCTTTACATTCAAGAAGGCAGCGTGCTTTCTGGCGGGGCGTATGTGAGTACCAACCTAGCCTTAAGGTCATATTCCTGGCATTTTCAGCCCAAAGAGGAAAGCAAGCAGCAGCAATACGCCGGTACGTAGTACCGAGGCTTCACTGCCACGCAAATCCCACCAGTGGCATGTTGGCTGCGAGGATCGTCCGGTCCTTAGGCAGGCTCGAACTCGTGCCCTCAAATTACAAGGCAGGCTTGTGATGCTTAAGGCTACGGACCCAAACAGAAATATAACTGAGATCACTATGACCCAACTGATGTCATAGCATGATAGCACATAACTAGGGCATCGAATTCTAATTCGTCTGATTCTCACAAACTAAGTGGTCGCTGTCGGGAGCACGCAAATCTATCTTACTCCACATGGCATGTGACTACATGCAGGAATGTCAAACATTGTTGCAGTTTACAGCCCTTCGTGTAATGACCCCGGATGCGTTTGTTGTCAATTCTAATGGCACAAATAAAATCCGCGCATCAACGACGGTCAGATGATATGGAGGCGTTCGACCAACTTTGAGAGCCATGTGAGGTGTTTACATCCGCAGTTTATCTCGGTGGACGTCTCGAGCATACGGAATACCATATTCATCGTGACCGTGTAAGGTGGATTCGCAGATGTTTACTGTCATTACTGAATCGCGTCTTTATCCCTGTGTGGCAATGAGACGGTTTCATTCTACTTAAGTAGATCACTACACACTGTACAGTTACGAATATGACAGTCTAGTAGCTTCATTTCTCTCACCATTTAACTACGCTCTTAAGGATGCCAGTGCATCCTGTTAGTTTCCCCATGAAACCCGTTACATGTCCCCAGGATAGTTTACAACCTATCGTTAACGGAAACATAACATCCTTCGGATGTTTCAGCCCAACCCACCCCCTAATAGAATCATACTAATTTCTCCCAGACTTCCGTTCATCATTTCTGATAGTCAATCAAGAACAGCGTTGACAATTCGCGCTAGATGATGTGGTAGCCCCAATCGGTGTAAATGCACTCAAACTCGATTGAAATCCCGCGTCTATACCGTAGCACTGAACCAACTTAGCCAGTCTTTTGTGGTCCAGGGTTCAATGATCTATTTGCAACATAGTACTGTCACCCGTAGTGATGCGATTTTCGACGGGCCATCTGCCTGTCAGTACGTTCTATCATGTGCAGCTGTTATGTAAGGTGATCTGTGTGAAACATTGACCGTTGTAGATGATTACAACCGCCGCAGGACGGACGCTCAATACCGTCAACTAAAAAGGGTATTTTTCGGAGATCAAAACCATGATTTGACGGAGTAATGAAGCTTTATGGAACAAATAACATCTAACACTAATGCATTAATGGATTGTCGGAAGGAAACAGATTAACTTCGGGCCACACGAACAATAATAATCTTCAATCGACATAACGGGCTCGATGACGTGTTGCGTTGCACGCAAACTGAATGGTTGTAGAAACGCAAAAGTGATCCTGCTCACAAATATCCACGGTTCCCCGACCTTGATGCGGATATATTTTTAAACAAATGCATCAACAATGCAAATTCGAACTAGTCGTGTTTTCGTCTGCTACGGCTGTGGTTAGGAAAGATAAGTTACCCTTGCCTACAAAGAAGTCGACCAACTAATTGGGTTTTCCCTCCATGTTACCTTCACTCTGGGCTGTTTCACATCATCAAACCCAGAGATTGTGAAACTGGCAACGTTTCGCTTGCATACCACATGGATTAGCTGAAAGCTATTGGCTGACGCGAGTGAGTCACCGTGATTTCGTTGGAAGTGTGCCGTTGATTATATGAGTCATTCCACTCCCAAAGTTTATCCTACCGAGCGCATAAAGACCGAAGTAAACAATCGCTCGGCGAAACGAAGCCGCGCGCAACCAATGCTGCCAGACATTAAATTTCAAGCTTAACAACACACATAGCACTAGAGCGAAATACCGGCACAAGGAACATTCAGCAATTTGCAAAAGAGCCAGGACAAAAGCAATGATTGGTATTCCCTTCCTATGGACGGTTTTCTGGGCTGCCATTCGTTACAACGCTTTGTCTGAATGATCATCGTCAAAACCTGCTGGATTTTTACCGAGTCATAAATGTATCGCAGTAAATGGAATTAGATTCTCTAGTTCATGAAACTAAAGGGGAGAAGAGCGAAACAGTTCTTCGCATTCATTTATCTACACGATGCTAAATGGCAACAGTGGGGGCGATATTGATCGCTTATTGGAGCGATTCAAGCACAGTGAGTAAATCTGTTACTCGCTTTATCTAAAATGGCCATAACTCACATTGACCAGTAGTTAATGCTAGGTCCTCAATTGTTGTCGAACTTTGTAAGGAGCTGTTGTTCAGACTTATCATTTCATTGATTCGTACGTTTACCTATCGTGGTCTTGTTTTTAGTCCATATACAGCGACACACTCGTCCAATGACAAGCTTGACCCCCAACGATTTTCAGCAGTTCGATTTCATCAGAAACTCAATTTGTTTACCATGTCGGACACTGTCGCTGGACGCAAATGTGTCACCGTGGTCTATGTCAACAGATCAATGACCGAAACTAACTGATCAAGATGAGGGAAGAGAACAAACATAGCAGTAACGATTCAAGTTTTGAATTTACGATCGACGTTGACATACCACAGTGCAAACAAACTAAAGGCAAAGGCACATAAGTGTTATACTAATAAAGCAGCTACGAAAAAGACCATGCGTATAATAAAAGTACAACAGATTTAAAGCGAACATTTAAAAATTTGAGTTCCTGAGGAAGTGTGGCTGAAAAGAAAAGGAACAAATGACAACGGGGTATGAGAAACCGGCCAATGGGGAACGGAGGATAATATAGGCTGATATCATTGTTATTAAATTTGTATCACATATACAGAACGAGTACAGTGCGCCTGGATTGTGTCGTTAGTCATAACACACGCCGAAAGTGTACGATTGGTATCCTGTTGCTTGGAGTGACTATGCGACAAGCCAGGTCCGGCCATAGATCCGTTCATTTGATCGACAAAGATCAAGTCTGATTCGTGATGGGTTAAAATGTAACTAGAAGTACTATTCGCTAACCAATTATGCCCCAATATACAATGCAATATATTTCCGTTCGGAGGGTTGAGTTTGGTCAAATGTGGATTGACGAGAAGCAAACTGCTCTGGCTAAAACCGTTAAGCCCGATTTATGCTACCCACTGCCGATACCGAGTAAGGAACAGAGTAGCTGTCACCTGAGTACCGTACGGTAAGTGAGGTGCGACAAGCATGCCTCATATACAGCCAAGGGAAGTCGCAACTCTGGAGGTTAATTCTCTTCTCTGCATGTACATAACATGCACGACAGTGGCGGGTGAGCCGCGCTATATCGCAGTTAGATATCAGTTATGGTGGTCTGCTGCCGTCACCCGCAGCTTATTGGCTTAAGCCGCTGGTTCGTAAAAGCCAAGGACCAGAGTCTAACAGAATCGGGTGGCAGCACATTGCTGGTGCTTTTGTGATCATATTTGAGAATGTCTGCATGTGCATGGTCACGACGATCCCACTCAAAAGAAAACAAATAAATTTCAAGATTAAGGAATATACCTCACCAGCGTTGTGACCAAAGATCACAGCTGCGTTCGAATGCGTTCAGTCTGCTCCTTCAGAAGCTGCCGAATCGTTTGAGGTAGGTCGCGTCCGACCTGTTCATCAAGATACTTTGTGGTCTCCTCGATATCCTCCAATAAATAGTCCTTTGGCATTGCAAATAATGAGTCCCAGTTCGCATTCAAACCTTTCATGTCCAAAGCACCTGCCGATAGTGATTAGAAAGAAGACAGAGCACGCGTAAAAGTACAGCACAGCGATTACAATAAGCAACCCGCTGGTTTGCCGAATCATGTTCTCCAGCACAAGTTTTCGGTGCGGTACACAGTAAAGAAAACCGGAAACCACATCTGAAGCCAGGGGCCGCACGGTATGCTGCGTGCATGAGTTATGGTGGATGCTTTAAATCGGGGTGATGTACACCACGTTCAGTTAGATCACCATCGCTAGGGTGACGGAACTGTGATGACAGTTATAGTCTGGAGACAGTTAGAAAATCGTGTGTTATGCTCATTTAGACATTAGAAGGAGACTTGCGAAGAGATATTTCTTTTCGATAATTCTCCTTAGGCATTTGCATATATGAGGAAGATAAAGAAAACAGGGAAGCTAAAGAGAGCTGGGGTGATAGTGGTTACATCAGTATAAAATAGGATAAGTGAAGCTGATCGATAATTCTGTATATAGAGTCAGGTGGTAGAAGTTACGACACCGCGTCGCGCGTATACGAACGGAAACACAACGAAGTAAGAACGCAAAAGGCTGACGAGAAACAAAGCTCACAGTTAGGCCGGGGTTTCTGTCAGATACGGACAGAACCCTAGTCAAGGCAAACTGAGAGTTTGTATTAACCTTATTTGCTTGCATAACTCAGGTTCTAATAGTCTGATCGCCATCGCTTCAGCAGTGGCCAGCAGGCGCTTTCTGAGTCGCTTGGGGATGTGCTTCAACATTGTGCAGACGATGTTATACCCGTCCTCGGTTCGAAACTGGTGCCCAGTAGTAATCAGATGCTCAAGGAGGGAGCTGTGGAAATTCTTAACCGTACCATGTTGTATAGAAGCAGGACAGTGTTCCGCTATCCTCTTAGACAGATGCCTAGTCGTGTGCCCGACGAATCTTACACCACAGGTGCAGGTAAATTGATACAACACAAATGATTCAGAACGAACCGAGATTCTGTCTTTGAGGCGTTTGGTGATGAGCGGAACTGTCTCGGCAAAAATGTGTACTCTAGCAGCCGAACATGTCTGACTCATTGCGATCGACAATCATTTGTTCAGTAACTCGTAGGGAAGGGAACCGAAATGAAGACGTTCTTTTTCTTTGCATCTGATCTTGTTATAGGGTGATCACAAATGCAGAATATCTTTTGATAAAGAAAGCTGGATATCCATTGGCTTATAGTGTCCGATGATGAATTCCTCAGCCTCCAACGTTTCTGTGGTGTAGATGTTTGAGGCGCAATAACACAAACAGTCCACAAGATTAGGCTCGTATTTTATTGGCACATAGCTAAGAAAATGCGTAAACCCATGTTGTCTTCTGAAAGACCCTCTTCTCAAGGGACCCGTCAGCTTGCCGCGGTAGTGAAAATCCAAAAAACGGTATTTTCCCATCTTTCTCTACCTCACATGTAAATTTTAATGATGGATGCGCATTGTTAAACTGGTCAAGTATTTGCAGGTACTCGATTTGGGAGTTGCACACGTCCATATACCGCCAATAGAAATGAAGAGACGCGATAGAGACGCGATACCTGTGCACGGAGCGGTCGATCACTGCAGGACAATCTACCCTTGGCGGAATTTGGACAACTGAGCACTCTTACATCCGGTTGGTTTGTATCATTGGTTGTATCTGAAACAGTGGCCTGTCTGTTGACTTGAATAAGTAAATCACTGGACCTTAGCGACCTTTGTTACTCCAGAATTCACGCTTGGTTATAGCATATACTATAGATAGCTTTGATCTTCTCATTTACAAGATTGATGACTGCCATTAACACTCGTGCAATGAGGAAAAAGCGTGTGGAAAACCGAATAATCACGGTAAATAATGCTGCCGTCACGAGTGTCGAGGAACCTGTGCCCTGTTGCACACATTCCGAGGCTGGGATACAAGAACAGGTAAATAAGTCCAAAGAACAAATCACAGAAAGTTCAGTTAGTGTTGTCGACCTTATATCTTCACTGTCAGCCAAAATAAAGACGTTGGAAAAACAGTTAGAGGAACAAAATGAGAAACTAAAGTTGTTTGACTCATTCGGAGATCTCCTAATGTCAGTTTCATACATAATTCAGTCTCCGGCTAATCCAGAGCAAAAGCACAAAATTGGAGCCTTAAACTTCCTAAATGCAATCGCCTCTGAGGTTAATCAAAGATGCAGAAGGGGAAAAAACGTCATCGCCCTCAACATAGCTGACAATATCGCAATTGACACCATTAGACGCTCTGTTTCGAGAGCGTGCAACATCGCTGAAACCGATATTAGTTGTAGAAGACTGAGGAAAAAATCTTTGCGTTTTCCTTGTCCGACTCTGTTTAGCTTCCGTAATGAAAGTCTCGCAAATTCGTTTATCAAAAGTCAAAATACTTTAAGATCTGTCCCGAAATTTTGCAAAGTTATTCTATTTGTAGACAGGTCACCTTTGCAACGTGAGCTTCAACGCATGAGTGCAACTAATGTCTCGCCTGAGCCGAAGCAGAGTCATCCTCCCTGCGCGCTTCCTGGATTGCAAAGAAGGAGATCATTCAACAGTGTTTGGTTCTCCCCTTCTAAAAAGGCAGCTAATGTTAGCAAGGCCACTCTCCACACGAACGATGTTAAGACTGGCGACAACGTAGCGGAAATTGAGATGCTCACGCCTCCACATCACATTAGTCTTGTGGACATAGGAAATAGTGTAGCTTCACTTGATGCACCACCTTCTGACAAACCAGTAGGGATTGGGATAAATCCCCACACCACTATTGAAACAGATACAAGTCCAAAAACATCAAATGGGACTGTCGATAGCTCCAGTGAAGGTACGTTACGGCCCATTGACATTATGACTACACATAGCAGCAGTGGTCATGGTTCGCGTCCTAAGCGTCTTAGATCAAACAGGGGCGTTCGTGCTGGAGAGGTGACTCCCCGTGTCCCAATGACAGTCGTGAATTATAATGCAGCTGCACAGAGTGGCAAGCCAAAATTCCCCATTGTTCCTGCGATGAGCCAAGGCTGTTCTCCTGGCAGGCCTGTACATGGCTTTGCTGAATCACAGACCACATATTTATGCCCCTATCCATACTCTATTCCGCCTCCTCCTCTCACAATGCCTTCTGTGAGCCCTTCGGCAATGACACCCTATCCAATTAAGCTCAATCGCCCCGACTTACCACAGCATTCTTTTTGCATTCCCCCACCCCCCCTAATCCCGATAGGACTGGCGAATCTCACGGTAAGGGATTTGCTGCGGAAGGCTTTAGAACTAATGTGATTGCTAGAATAAATACTGGACGGAGTGATAAACAACGCCAGGAGTTTTTAAAACTGGTGATAATTAATATCCGTTCTCTGTTGAATAAACTTCATTTACTCCGCACCTTCATAAGTCTGAATAAACCAGATATGATGTTACTCACTGAAACCTGGTGTCATGATTCTATGCCCAGCCAGCTGCTTTCTATCGAAGGTTATAAGCTTATTAGAAGTGATCGAAAACAAGGCAGAGGAGGTGGTTGCATAATTTACTACTCACAGAACCTCACTGTGTCTGAATTCACACTTCCACTTATATGCCCCACTATCGATTCCGCTTGGTTACTCTTGTCCTTTGGTACTAAGCGAATTCTTGTAGGCTGTATATACCGCTCACCCGGGACCAGCCTCAGTGATGAGAACCAGTTGGTTGACATCTTCAATTACATATCGGACCTTGGTTCCTTCGATAAAGTTGTAGGTGGAGATTTCAACCTACCAGATATCTGTTGGTCAAACTTAGTAACAAACGCGAAACATGCAGAGTTCATAACCTCCGTCATCACTGGGGGTTGGGAGCAACATGTTCTCGTGGCTACCAGGGGGAAAAATATATTAGACCTACTTTTTACCTCAGGCACCTCCCAGATAGCTACTGATGTAATTGACGGTCTCCCTGGATGTGATCACAAAATAGTCAGATTTAAACTTATAGCTGAGTCGTCGCATGTGAGGTTTGCGATGGTTCCACACTTCCTGCGAAATATTAATTGGGTAGATTTCTCAGCTTTGCTTAGGGTCCGAAATCGGGACTATTTCTTTCTTTCGTCTGATATTAAGGGAGCCTCCGATATCTTCTATGACAATGTGGCTATGTGCTTAAGCATACTTGCCTCCTGTGATAACACGAGAGTCTCTTCTAAATACGCTAATAATGCAAAGAACAAGCGGAAAATTCGAGTGCTAACTCGAACATTTGAACGTACTCATGACTTTAGTGTATTATTGAGACTCCAACGCCTTATAATTGAGATGGACATGAAACATCGAACTCATCTCATGCAGGAAGAACGACGGGCTGTAAATAGTAGTAATACAAGTCAACTGGTGACTGCATTACTGAGGAAAAGGAGAGGTGGCAAAACTGACCTACCCTCCCACATCGTCATGCCTGAAGGTGATTGCATTGATTCCCCAATCGCCATGGCGGAAGCCTTTAACTCATACTTTGCTAGATCCTTTAATGTTGAAAAAGAAACCCTGGATTTGTCAACCTCATTTCACTTCTCTGAACAAGTCCCAGCGATCGAGCTTAGTGTTGCTACGATAAAACGTATGCTTACTTGTCTACGACCATCCTACAGACCTGGCCCCGATGGGATCTCTTCTGCTTTAATCAAACACGGTGGAGATGATATCCCTCTTATAGTATTAAATATCTTCTCTTTGTCTCTCAAGTCTGGTCAATACCCCGAACGTTGGAAAACGGCTACGGTCATACCGAGACATAAGTCCGGGTCGAAAACTGACATCCGGAACTACCGCCCCATTAGTCACACAGCCATTCTCTCACGCATGCTAGAGAGAATTGTTAAGGAACATTTGGTTTCGTTCCTAATATCGCACAAACTTCTCTCACCTTCACAGCATGGCTTTCTGAAATCTCGCTCGTGTGTTACCTGTCAAGTTGACTTCCTTAACCATCTAACTGAAGCAATTGACTCAGGTCTTCAGTGCAT